CAGGTGCAGTACAATTATATGTAATACCATCACAATATGAATCTTCAGCATTTTCAGCTGTTAAACAAGCAACAGCATCTTGAAAATTTGTTAATGATTTATAAATATCATCAATACATGTTGAAACATGTTCATAAAATGTATTAAAACGATCATAATGTTCTTTTTTTATTTTTTTTCAAATGCTTGTCTTTTACGTTTAGCTGCATTACGTGTATGTTCAAATTCACCATTTGTTATTAATTCAAATGTTGTTTTAACTTCACGTGAGCATGCATCAATAGCTGATGTTTGTGGTAAATGTTTTTTGTAATTGAATTTCAATATCGGACATTTGTTTAATTCATGATTTTCCTTCTTTATTAACTTGTTCATAATTAATTTTCTTTAAATCATCATGTAAACGTTTATAATTTAATTCAAATTTATCTTCTATATCATAGATTTGTTTTGTTTCAAGTTGACTTGGATAATTTCGACCATCATTTGATGCTGTTGATGAATCAGTTGTTGTTGTTGTTGTTGTTGTTGATTGTATTGGAATATTTGTATCATTAGATAATGTTATTTCAGTAAGTAGTATAGCAGTCATTGAACCAGAATTACTAGGAAATGGTAATAAAATTTCATTAAGCTAGAAAGCAAAATGAAAGAATATGACTAACTTATCATACGAACATTTGAAACTTTTAGCAAAACAGACTTTGAGAATAGATATGAACATGATCGTCCTTGTTATATCAGACAAAGTTGGAAACAAATTTTCCCATTGGCGGGCCACCAGAGGGCAATTGGTGGCAATTGCCATACCACAAAAAATATGAAAATTAAAAACTTGCCTAAGAAATAGTATTGGATAAGAAAGTTTGTCAGACATTGCCTTTTTCAATACTAAGAAAGATTCGACATTTATATATTCCACTGGTCAAAAATAGTTTTACAAAGTACTTTTAATATATGATCACTATAAATGAACATTTTGAGACAAGTAATTATATATTCGGATAGGGCGTGGAGTTCTCTGCAATTGTGTATATATTTGATTTAAATTGTATATGCTTATAAAAAAAATACCTTAAAGAATAAAGAACGCACTCTCGTTATCAGAGTCCTGATTACGTTCGATTTTTCTTATCCCTTTTTGTTCATCAGATAAGTAGCAAAGTGAAAACTGAGAAAAATACAGAATGATAGAGTATTTCACCCGCTTTCAGAATATAGGCTTACTTTTGTTATAACTTGTTCTTTTG